TTTTAAAATTTAAGTAAGAAAATGTTAAAAAAATTAGAATTAAATCGGATTTGTGACACCAAATTTCGAATCGAATAATCGAATGGTCGAATAATAATCGAATTTCGGAAAAAATCGAATTTCAACCCCCCACTACCTATCCCTAATCCCTTCCGCACATTGAAACTTCCTGTCTGTTATGCGAAAATTTTACCGGTGGTGCCTATTTACAATCGCGGTCAAAAATTGATGAATGGTGTTTCGTTTTTAACCGACATTCAAAAAAGGAGGAGGTTATCAGTTCGTCGGAATATGTTTTTTTTTGTTTTTTTTTTTTTATGTATGTTACCGCATAACTTTGGACCACGTGAACCGATTTCGAAAGGTAGTGTCTCAGACGTGGTCCCATACTAATCTGGTTTAGATCCGATATATATATATATTTTTTATAGGAGAATTGAAGTCGGTTTTTTTTGCTAAAAATTACTTGTTATAAAAAAAATATCAAAAAAAACATTAACAAGTAAAAAAGTCTAAGTTCGGGCGGAGCCGAACATTAGATACCCGGAGCAAGTAACAAATATAGTTTTTTTCACCTTTCCGAAAACTACCGCTACTTGAGAAGCAGGGGTGGATTTATCCCTATTTCAACATCTTCGATAAACCTATGTAGTTATATGTGGGCGGTATCACGCCCATTTTCCAAAATTCCATAATAATGATACCTCTTTGCAAGGGATCGTTGTTACTATCAATTCTGTGTAAATTAGCCTCCTTAAATTTCGAAATATCGAAGTTTTAATTAACCGTTATATAAAAAGTGGGCGTAATTTTAATCCGATTTCAATAATTTTCAGGGTTTTGCTTTTATGTTGCAAGCACAATAATCGTACCGAGTTTGGTACATATTGGCCGAACGGTTACAGAGGTACATAAGTGGGCGGTGCCACGCCCATTTTCCAAAATTTTATCACAAACGTATTTTGAGCTAAAGAATTGTTGCAAACATTAATGTTGAATAAATTAGCTTCGGTATTTACTGATTTATCGCAGATTTCGTATTTCTCTAAATTACCGTTATATGGGATGTAGGCGTGGTTATTGTCAGATTTTAAAAATTTTCAGCCATTTGGTATGCTGTACCAAGACCAACAACCGTGCCAAGTTTGGGAGAAATTGGTGGCGCGGTTCCCAAGATATACACGTGTAATCATAAGTGGGCCCATTTTCCAAAAATTTATATGTGACGTGGTCTACGGAAAGGGGGCTTAGGTGTCAAAAAATCAATTTTCACTTTTTGGTTGATTCGGATGGAAGATGAGATGCTTTTTCACGTGGTGAAAAGCAGAAAATCCTAACTTGCTTAGAAGTGTACTAAAAATGTAGAGAAAGAAGAGTAAAAATACGACAAAATATAATTTATTGGTAATGAACAAAATACATTGAATTATAAGCTATAAAGACATGATTATACACTAGAAAAACGTATTATGGGCCAAAAATAATAATGCTGAGTAGTTTATGTATTTTTCTTTGTTGTCGTTTTCCTTGAGATCTTTTTACGTGTTGATCCTGAGGAAGATGGACCTGGTTCCTCGTCTGGTTTGAGAAAATCTTCACTAGTTTTTGCCTTCCGTTTCTTCGATGGCAAATCTTTCGGCAATGGAGCCACAATATCTACTTTAGATATGTCCGAAACTAAGCTGCGAAGATTGTGATAGATGTACCACTGACGTTCCAAAGATAAACCGGCTGGTTGTATAACTTTCGGCATTTCAGGATCGATAGGTTTTAACAGAAGCTTAAAGGACTGCACTTCTTCACTGTCTGCGAATTTCTTTGTTTTTACACAATCTGTAGAGATTATGAAATGATGGAATTGCGTTATTCCAACAAGTGACTTGTACAGTGGTTTAAAATAGCTGTCCCATTCATACCAGACGACTTTTTCAGCCGATACAGCTTTATTATAACCCCCAGGTGATGATACGGTGAAGTAACGATCAGGCGCGAACTTAGTGTGCCCGGTAAGTAGAAAATTGAATAAAATAGTTTTGTTAAGACCCCGAGCCAAACACCATTGCAGATATGATAGTACAGTGTTATTCTTATTCTGCCCAACACAATTGTCACAGAAAAGAACGAGTGTTTCAATGTCTTTATAGTAGGTTTTCAGGTGATAATGCAGGATGCTCACAACACAGTTAGGTCCTTTACCAACGTCATCTTTTTCGTCTATCATGTAATTGTACTGTAAAAAAAAAAAATATAAGTAAGATCCTGTAAAGGCGAGCAATTTGAGTTCCTATGATTCAGTTTGAAATTCTAACCTGAACTTTTTGTTTTTCGTCTGTAATTCCGAAGACTCCGCACTTCTTGGTTGCTTTGAAGTATGCTGTACCAGGTTGTTGTGGACTGACAGGGTAGTGAACGGTTTGGGCAAAATCAAATGACAGAACGACTGCTGTAGGGTCAGTATTTCTACACCAACTTTGATAATATTCTCGTTGATTTCGGGCTCGGTGGAGGTGATCAAGAAATTGATTAAGCTTCTGTGCGCGTTCAATGTCAGTAACACCTTTGGCTTGCGCAATCGATATTGTGTTTCCTATTAAAAGAAAAAATACTGAATTTAATCTCAACGTTTGATACAACTATAAAATGAGAAAATAATGAGCTACTTACCACGGCAGACATCGCAGAGATCATCCGCTGGTTTCATAACTATAACATGGGGTATGTATTTGGACCATATCCGTCGAAAACTGCAATTACTCATCTTCAATTCGTCATCACTGAGTGAAGAAATGTATTTTCGATAAATTGAGGACTTCGTCTCGCTGGATGGCAGTTTCATTATCCGAAAATCCTTAAATTTTGGGAGTCGTCCGGGCAGTGGAAGAGCCATTAAATCGGCTATAGACTCGATGAATTTAACAGCTTTTTCGATGTCAGCCGGTTTAAATGACTTTGGATGTGTACTCGGTTTATTTGCCACTCCGTGTTGGCGCACTGTTACACCCTGTGCGTGAAAATTACGTACTAAATTTTCGTAACGCTTCGTCGTACAGGCATGTATAAAAAAGAAAAACGAACGACAAACAGGTACTCTGTAGAAGGTAAATTGAATTCTATGCCTCATAACTTCTGTATCCTGTCTCTGTCCATATTTCTTCCGCCCAGCAAGCTTTGCGTATACACTTTCTAGCTTTTCATTACTCACAATTCCAGCTTCGATGTGACTTAGTATCACTAAATCAAGTTCATTTTTCGACATCTCTAAACAATTGTTCCGCGTACTCTCGATCATTTCCCGTGGTATCAGTGTATGGCATTCATTATTACAACAATCTTTTGACAGAAATTTTGTTACCAGCTCCTCCTCCTTTACATCAACAACATACAGGTCCATCTTAACAAAAGTTTGTTCGGTATCATCTTCTGCCTGAGATACACATACTTCGCCTTCATCATCATCGCTCTCTTCATAGTTTTCATCATCGTTTTCATCATCCTTTTCATGGAAATATTGTCCGTATACGGCACTGAACTCCTCATCAACACTCATGTTTCATTTCATGCGAAATGCGAAGACGATAATCAACAGAAACAGTAAACGTCACTTCTGCAGTGTTACTTTTTTAAATTTCCACACTAGCAACTTACACGATGAACTATAATAATATTCCGACCAACAACAACACTTACTGGACGTCCGGCGCGGAGAACAATTAACGAGATAATGAGAAACTGACGAAACGAGTTGCTTACTTTTAACAGCTTTTTCACAGAAAACTAGTTTTCGCACGTAAGCTCCCTTTTCGTAGACCAGGTCACATATATTCTTATTTTTCGCATAAAAATGATTGTAAATGTCAATTTTGAGTGAACAATCTTCAGTAGTTACTAAAATATCGCAGTTTTCGTATTTCTGAAAACTACCGTTATAAGGGAGGTAGGCGTGGTTATTGTCCGATTTTTCCCAATTTCATTACCATCCGTCCTACACCGAAAAGAAGTATACATACCAAGTTTCGTTAAGATATCTCAATTTTTTACTGTGCACAGACGGATGGACGGACGGACGGACAGACAGTCACCGCTTAATCGATTTCTCTTTTCATTCTGATCATTTAGGTATACATTTGTCTATATCTATCTCGATTCGTTTTGCCTGTTACAAACAACCGTTATGTGAACAAAGTTATAATACCCTTGTGCACAAGTGCGCTCGGGTATAAAAAAATCGTTGCCGCTACTCCCCGCTGCCACTACTACACGTACACGACTCAGGAATAACCTGGCATTATGTGAACCTCGAGTTTTAAAACAATTCTTTGATGATATTCGTGGGTTATAATGACAATTGTTAGATATGAATGGTAATCATTTCTGCATAATTAACTCAAAAACTTGTTCACGACATTTTCGCAGTAATGGCCTGTATGCAGCTCTCAAGAAAAGTAAAAACTCCATATAAAATATCGTACAAGAAATGGGGAAGAAATTTTCTTGAGTCAAATTTTCTTAAGGCAGTACGCAGTTCTTCAGGAATTTGCTACGCTTTCTACTACGGTTTTCACAATTTTTGTGAAAAAAGAGCACAAGGCAACCCAGGTTTGCAACAGAAATATATGCCCGTTCCATTATTTCTTGAGGAAAGAGTGAGGCAACAGGCTGTGAAGTATCAAAAATGTCAAAATTCCTTGGACCCACACACGAAATAATGGCAATTTTTTCTTGACCGTTTTCTTGAGAGCTGCATACAGGGCATAAGGGGTGACATGTAGAAAAAAGACTTTGCCGTACCGTTTGAAGCAATATAACAAAATATTGCTTCGGAGCTTTTGAGTTAACTCACTTGTGACGAACGTGTGCGACTTGCACAGGCGGGCGGGGCAGTTCCAATAGACTTAATCCATTTTTCTATTCTCTTTAGTTAAAAATATATGTACAATGATTCCGTTAGGCTGTTACAAATACCAGCTTATTCGTTTGTAAATATACATATAAATGAATGGGAATTCATTACTATGCGCTTACCAAGTATGTGCACATGGTAATCTGTCCGTTGATCGATCATCACGATGTATTTGGAACCTCTGAATTCCGTTCATACCCTCTAGAGAACCGAAACCCTGCAGAGGTACTTTTGACGTTCCAGTAACAAATTGCAAGAACTTGGCTCGATCGGCTTGGTCAAAACTGCGCAAAGCCCTCCAAAACCATTGTATCTGCAAGTAAATATGTATACAGAAATTAATAGATGATGATATTCTCACAACAGAGCAAACTTAAGGAAGAGTGCAGAAACGTGATCTCCATTTTCTTTTCTTTTTTATTCTTACCTGCAATGATTTCGAAGTATATTTATGGTATTCTGTGTTTGCTCTGAGATCTTCAATGTCGATATCGGGCAAGCCAGATATTAGTAGCTCCAGCTCCTGCTCGTTGAATATTGAAATTAGATGTTTCGGTATAATATCATAAAAGCCTTCAAGGAACGCATCTAATCTGCAAAATTAATGGAATAATTTATATAGATAAACCGTGCATGTACATTTGTAGATGAACTCATTGATAACTACTGTTGACGAATTGATCCGCTCATTTTAAGTTGGCAAACTAACTGGACATAGTCGAATTTATTTTCTTCAGTTACAGCAATATTACGGCCATTCGGAATAAGGTCCCGCACCTGAGTAACTCCAAACTCCTGTATTTCAGTAGAAAATGTGAGCTCATAACCTAAAGTCGATATATCGTTCTTCATAAGATAATCTAATCCTTTATAAAATTCATAATCTTGTGACTCCATGTCTGTGTATTTAACTTGCTTTCCGAGGATGTGTTTATAAAATGACCGCGTAAAATAACACTCGAGTAATTTGTTGTCATGTATTGCCTTCGCTGTAATAAAATAGCAAAAATATGCACATACATATTAAAACTCAGTATCAAACATTTCAATTTACTTTGTACCTATTACGCGTCCAACAAACTTGAAGTAGCTCAGATGATTGGGATTCGCATGACTCGACGGATTTATCATATAAGTAACTCTATCGCCCGGTGAAACGCAAAACAAAGCGTACATGGGATTGAAAATCTCTCTTGAGATAATCACGTACCACTCTCTTAGCAGACCACCTGCATCTTGGCCTTCTTCATCTACGATTTCAATAGAAAAATAAAAAATTTAAAAATTTAAAAATTTAATTATAATTAATTAATTAATTAATCCCAACGGCTTTTTACCCTCCATTCCCGCCCAACCGACACGAGGGGCGCAGCCCGGATGACGTACGGACCCGTTTTTTTTTTTTT